CTCTTGGAAAAGGAAATATTAAGGGAAACATATTATGTGCATGTCTGATTGTTGATCTATTATTATATTTAGTATTCTTCTTATTATCATTATTTTCATTATTATTAGACTTATATAATATGTGTTTTCCTTTAAATATTTTAGTTTGAGCATGATGGTCACTTTGTATTTGACACAAATACGCACACTGCTATGGTGATGAACATGTTATTAATGATGAGAATGAATATTTAATTTTCCTCGTTTTTTTTATTCACTCATATTTAAAGGACCCGCGTGCCAGTTAGTGCCTCAACATCACTTTCACTAGTTGAATTAAAAGGACCCTTCCTACCTGTACTCGGGCCTCCGACAGTCCCAGTCGCTGGCTCAGCTCCTCCCGCATGAAGGCGTCCGGGTAGTGGGTCTCGTCGAAGAGCCGCTCCAGCTCGTTGAGCTGCTCTAATGTGAAGTTAGTCCGACTTCTCCTCTGTTTGATTTTAGTCTGTGCCTCGTCATCTAATGGCTTCGAGTCCTCTTTCCTTTCTTTCACGTCCGTGTTGCCTGTGTGGTTGCAGACGAGAAGAGAGGGAGACATCATCATCACGGAGCTGCTCTGTGACCTCAATGTGTTGGCACCATTGGCCTCCATTTTCACACATTTGTTTATCGTTTAATATGTTCTGGAACATTTAATATGTTCTGGAAAATTAAGGTTTATTCTCGTATAATTACTCAACCGGATAAGCTCTTTTATGGAGTGAAAATTAGCCAAACTGACGTGTGTGTAAAACCCTACCCCAGATTAAAGAGGCGAACTGAAAAAAGGTGAACTACACAAGTGACTATCGACCTACCCCAATCGTAATAAAAACCTAGATGATAAGAAAGAAGAAAGAAAGAAAGACATGCCCTCCCAGCCCTCAAATATCACAGAGCTATATCAGACCTCGGATGTTTTGTAGAGCTACATAAAGCTCTTTAATTATTAATTGCTTATAAATATGCAACGCTGTGCCCACTGTTGGATGTCTGATACATGCTTGTCGCAGTTCCGCTTTTAACCACGCTGCCCATGACGAACAGATGTCATTTTTACAAGCCACTCAACTCTAAAATATCCTGTCCTCTGTGTTGTCACACTGTCCAGGTTTCATAACACACAGCTGCCTAATTTTTCTTAAAGTGTAGTACAAATATAAATTCATTTGAAATTGGTTGGTTTGGAAAAAAATATCAACAAAGCAGATCCTTATATTTAATTAAATATTTGTCTATTGTATTTCTTTTTATTAATCCTTACATTGTGTTGCAACCTACTGTTGCAACAATCAATTGTGTATTCAATTGTGTAATCAATTGTGTATTCAATTCCTTTACTATTGCACATTATGTGCTTTCTTATCTGAAAACAGACAACAGGGCACTGAGAGACAGCAGAGATAACAAGACTTTGACCACCTTTCATTTGCAGCGGTGTCTGTATGTCAGGTGTCTGATGCTCCTCTTTTATTTGAAACATTGCTATATATCTGAAGATCTATGAGATAGCAGAAACATCCATTTATGTGACGAATTAATATAACCTTTATGGTTTTTTCTTCTACCTTTAAGGCTAAACTGCGGGTTTAAAAATCCAGGACTAGAATGCACCTGTGTTCATAAACTTGTGAACAAATAAGCACATTGGGTTGAAGTAATGTGCTATTATATTTCAGCATTAGCATTTCAGGCCTTGTTGTTTATCTGGGAATAGGCCTTTTAAAATAAATAAAAACTTTTTGAAACTGTGCCACAGCAAAACATTATTAAGCTGCAAGCATCTTATTCAGACTGAATATATGAATGAGCAATAATGTTGCATTAGCAAACAACTAAATAAACACAAATGATACTTTCAGAAAGCACCAGTTAAGGATTTTTCTTCTTACATGCTGCAACTTGAATCAAATGCTTGATTTCTCAAATATGTAGTAGCCTATCTGATTGGATCATATAACGACCTAAAATAAAGATATTTTAAATGTATTTCTCAATCAAAAACGTAGTTATGATCACCGATTATTTTCTCTTGACCAGAATATTCCTGCCTAAGTCTTTTAAGTCCTCTAACCATCCCATAGATAACGATTGTAGACTACAGTACTCCATGAAGTCCTACCGTCTATGAGTTTGGGGCTCCCGGCGTCCCTGATTCTCTCCGGGCTGAGCATGTCCGTTTCCCTGCCCGGCGAGAGCGCACCGTTCCGGGTGACGGCTGCAGCCTCCTCCCGGCTCCCCGGCTCCGCGGTTAAAGACTCCCTGCTGCCTGCTCGCGTCGAGCCGGTCTCCAACACCTCCCTGTAGGTTATCACTTCCTTCTTCTCCTTCACTTTCTGATCGAAAGACTTAGACACGAAAGCGGTGAGCTCTTCCATCATGCCTTCACTCCTCTTTAAAAAAAGAATCTCCACACACACTCACACACTCTCTCCCTTTGCTCCACGACAGCTTAAGACATCAATGGTGTGGCTCGTTTTAAAGTCGACCCCTTGGAAATGATAGCCTACGAAATGATGCTGCCAACTCTGGAAGAAGGTAAAAAATGTATAAAGAATATATCTTCTCTGCCAATTCCTCCCTCCTTTGGTAGCGGAGTTGGGAACCTGCTGATGATCCTCTATTGAAGTCACAGTATTTATACTTTGCGGCGCCTTGCCCCCTTGATCCGTGCAAATTACCTCCCCTCAGGATGCCGGGATGAGCCCCCCCTTCCCCTCCACTGATATGGGAGAGAGAGAGAGCAGATGAGTTTAAAAAAAACATTAAGCAGCACCGCCGCTATTGGCCATTAATCCGAGATTGACAAGAAGGACTAATTAATTTAATTAAGCGCTCATTCGCTGCTATTGTCCTGAGTTAGTTTTTAAACACCCGGGAGATGGTCATGGATCTCTCTCTCCCCTCTCTCTCTTTCTCTCTCCCCCCCCCTCTCTCTCTCTCTCTCTCTCTCTCTCTCTCTCTGCAGGGGTGTGGCTTAAACAAATCTGAAAATGACAAGAGAGGGAGAGAGAGAGAGGGAGAGGGAAGCACATGGATGAGGAGTCCTTCCTCAGTATATCTCTGATCTGGGGGAAAAATAAGTCACAACGGTGACACGGAGAGAAAAGAGATAAAGAAAAAAAGCACAACAGCTGAGATGCCGAGAGGAGCAGCAACGGCGACTCAATACAAGGAGCTTTAGAGGAAGCTCAAGTGAACATAGTTGGCCTGAACGCACAGTTGCATACAGTTGGCTTTAGGCCTGGTACATTTATCCATTTTGGACTTGTTGATATTAATGCACTTTGTCACTTTTGATTGAACAGAATTTCCCTGCATGAAAAAACGAATTGAAAAAGGTAAACATTTATAGGCTATAATATGATGATAGAATTAAGGGGTTCAAGGACTAATTTTGTAACAATGCTAATGAACGGAATTATTATTATGAAATATTGTATTAATGTTTTTGCACGTGTATGCATGCAATATAAGGTATTCAAATGTGCGATTACAACATGAACGTTTGGGGACCCTGTGAGACAAATCCTTTAATGTGCAGCGTTGCTTTTAGTTTCTAATCAGCAATTATGTATTTTAAATTGTCATCATTAGTGAGAGTATATCGCCTAACATTCATTCTCAGTGGACTTTTTAAGCCATTAGGATGTTAAATAGCAGCTAAACGTTTAATTATAATGCCTCTCGCGATACGTTGCCATTGGGCTCACTAATTATCGTTTTCCACTCGCTATTTCTCGCTGAAATGATTGCCTATATTTGCAAAAATAAATAGACCTAAACAATGGTTGACTTGCGGTGAAGAAAAGTGAACGCTGCGGAGAGAGACCAATTAAGTGAGGAGAAGAGGAAATATAGGCATACAAGAAATATATGACAGGATTTTGAAAACGTCCGGATGAATTTGATGCAAAATTAAGAGTGTTTATTGATCATCTATATAAAGCCCCACCTTTCCAGGCGAGTGCTCTAACAATTCCCCTAATTAAATATTAACAATGTTTCATCTTGGACCTAAGGCATTAATTAGGCTACTAATACTTCTGCTGAATCTGAAAGCACGATGGATTCCATGATCGCAGATAAGCATCTATGAAAACCCCTTTGACTTCTAGGCTATCTATCAGCCATATATTATTATGCTTTTGGTCCATTCATAATGAATGGACCAAAAGCATACTAATATATAGATTCATTCATTCATTCATGTTCTGAGTGAAACAGTGATCGTTTTACCTTAAGTGCCTTTATGTGTATTTGAATTGATACAAATAATTAATTATTAAACTTTGCTGAAAATTGGTTGGATGCTCTGTCATCCCTTGCATCCCTCTGTGTAGCCTACATGCTGGCGTTAAACTGTATTATCTGAGATGATGACCCAATGCAAATTCCTGTTAATGGACCTCAAACTTAGGCTAGGCTACATGTATTTTCTTATGTTATAATTTGTGAAATGCGCGTGGGTATAATCGGATCAAAACGGAACATGTGTAGCGCTGGCTGTTGATATAGCCTACCTCCCATAAATAAGCCTTCTTTATAGCCCTATTCTTTTTTTAACCATTTTAATGGAACCAGACTCCTCTGTACAACATAACAATTAAGAAATAATTGAAGAAAATATGTTGCTGATCCATTAATTGGACTCGTACTTGATTAAAGAAAGAGTATCAAAAGTGACTCTGAAATAAGCATCAGCCAATATTTTCAATAATTTCCTAGCCTGCATCAGACATGCAATAATGGAAAGCTTTGCAGGATTGCTTACATCAATACGCACCCTTATCACAAATTAAAGTCAAGTTATAGCTAATGTTACTTAATAAGGCATCAACAACAACAACAAAAAAAGCTGCACTATGATTTGAGGCTGAATATATCGTTTTGGGCAAATCATAAACACCTAATTCGAACCCATGATAATGATAACAGATGAGCGCAGTACCTCGATCGATTGCTCTGTGTAAGATATTTCTGCCTGGACTCGATCGATGCTTTCCGGTTTCACGAGTAGAGTCTCCTGAGCAGTGCATGGCAGAGTTGTGGAGCTTCACAACGACTTAAAGGTGAGGAGCGGGATTTTCATTGCAGGGTAACTTCTTCTTTATTTTAATACACTTTTGTCCTTTGTGTAGCATTTACTGACTTCACTGTGAGAAACGGTAAATGCTAAGCGGCTCGAAGGCTTCAGTCAAAACAAGAACACGCATTTATTAGAGGTAGCACAGTTAGCCTGCTAGCTAACCTCCACATAAAACAGATGTTTAATCCATATTTTTTATATTTTCTGCATATACGACAGCTGTGTTGTTCGAGCCCTAACAGGGACTTATAATGCATAACTTCCTTTCGCGTTGTTGATAAGCCTAGCTGCGTTGTTGTTGTTGTATAGCTACACCCCTTACTCAATCTTTGTGGTTACATTACATTAATAAAACATTCAAAAAATACATAATAAAAAGTGTTGTACAAGTAATGTAGAGGAATGCATTACAATCTGTGTTACAGTGTTAAGTGGGTTCACGAGTGTTTTGTATCAAAGTGTTGCTAAATGATAAGAGTTAGCTCCTCGGTTAGTAACACTACTGTCTGTGTTATGCCAGCTGACAGACAGCCAGCATGGGTCGGCGCTCGTCTGATAGTGAGGATGACAGTCGGAGCAGGAGGAAGAAGAAACAGCGTCGACGGTCATCCTCCTCTTCCTCTTCGTCTTCATCCTCCAACAGCAAGGTGGTCAGCAGCCGGAGCCGAAAGTCCACTCGTCTGAATCGTTCTCGTTCAAGAGATAAGGACAAAGACAGGAGGTGAGGGTACATGTATACACGCTTGGACTTTATATTAAAAGGTAGAAGGGCTAAAGACTGAGTGTGTGACTGTCCTGCCTCGTCGAGCAGGACAAACTGACCAACTCTAGTCCTGCTTTGACACCTCCTGAGTTTCTCCTGACTTAAATGGCTGTTCTTCTCTGTGGCTGCAGAAGTGAGCCAACAAATTGGAAATACTGTTTGAGCATTTTATGTCTTCTTATGTTGTCTTACTGTATTTCCTGTGACTTTTTTCACAAATCATTAGAGGGGCTGTTCTAAGCAACACAGTTTGACATATGTTAAAGTTCAGGAGTCTGATGTCATTTTATAAAAGCATCTACGCAGTTGGCTTCTCTATGTGCTAACAGTTTAAACACATATCAGGATATGTCTGATAGATGGAGGCCAATAATTGTCTGATATGCCTTTTACACAAAGTATAGATACAGGTGTTACTGATAACACTAACGATGGCTCAGTTCTTGTTAAGTACCTCAGTCAACTGACTGTGACAGTATGCTCAATACTAGGACCCTGAAACGGAATCAGCTTACTGAAATTCAGCCATGTTTTATTTTATCATTCACACCTGTGCTTTATTCAGCTTTGAAATGTCAAAGTCTGATGAAAAAGCCCTTTTGTTGAAGTGACATTTTTGTGACTGTTTGAGAACACAATGGGTGTTTTTTCTTATGGCTTCAAAAACACGTTGGTGCATCACTATGGTAAACCCATGTGGGTAAAGGGAGAGATGCCCTGATGACTTATATTCGTTAGTTTGGACTTTATAAAAAAAGTAATGTTCCTCAACATGCAGCGACTTCAGTTAAAACAGAGATCACAGAAAAAAACTTCCAGAAACGTTTGTATGTTTGGCATGAGAACCCTTTCATTCAGATGGATGTTGCATTGAAATTTCCTAAAAAATCTGGTTATTGGTTATTATATAGCCTAAGTAGATGCTGTCTGGTATTGTTGGGTTTGGTCCTTTCTTAAGGATTTCTCAGTAAGGATTCATGAAAAAAAGTAAAGTCAAGGCCCCTTGCTTTGTGTCTAAACACATAATATAATATATATGAAGGTTACTCGCTCATACCTGTTTTATAAGCTCTCCTCTCCATGTTTCTAAAATACTACACCTTGCTATTTAGCAGTTTCATAGGAATAGGGAGGCTCAGTAAACAAAGACATCTTAACAAGTGGCCAGTGGCTGGACCTGGCCTCCTCCATCCATCCCAGCTGCCACTGGCTGTGTGGCTGCTCAGACAAGGCCAGTTGATGGTAATTATTTATGAGGCTTGGTCAAGGTCCATTACCGCTGATTGGAAGTCATTGCCTGTCTGTACGGGATGGGGTTGAGTGGGCAGTGTAAACCCTGGGACCACAGTCCCTCATCTATTAGCCATGTGTTTTGATCAATTAACGAAGACCTTGTGTGTGCATCTGTGTGAAACTAGTTCCTTAAATAGGCTCGTATGAAAGAGGACACACACTCTGGCGTTTTCAAGCCTATACAGGTGGTTTAAAGAGGCCTCACATGTGGTAAAACAGAAGAGTGCTTATGCTATTGGCTGGTGACATCATGACAACATAATGAACATGTTTTTTTTTAAATCTTTTGTTGTTATTTTGTTTTACTTGCTTGTAAGCGCTTTGAGCACCAGGAAAAGCGCTTTATAAATGTAATGTATTATTATTATTATGTATGTGCAACGAGAGTAACTGTGTCCACAGCTAAGTGTGTGTGAGATACTAAGTGGGAGCGAGACAGGGATAAAGTGTGTGAGTTAAAAAGAGAAATGAAACCCAACTTGCCAGGTGTTTTATAATGTGAAAATATCTCTGTGTTGTTAACCAGTGTTTCGCACTCCCATGTGTTTGAGCCATTAGGTTTTTATTACGTTACATTCGCGCAGGCTTCTGTGTAAACATGTGAGCTAACGGCACCTTCCAAAAACCCTCCGCTCACCACTGTGTGTTTCTTCTGTGTAATGTGTGAACTGTGAAGTGGTTGTACGAGGGCTGAGGAAGTTATTTCATAGGGCCGCGCTCATGGGATACAGCCTTTGGAATACTAATGGATCTTTCCTGCGCTGCTCTAAGTGGTACAAATCTTGTTTGATAGTTCAGCCTCTGTGTTATTTGAATTGCTTTTCTTTCTCTCCTTTTCTGCTCTATCTTGCAGAGCTCCCATAGGACCGTGTGTGTGTTAAAAAGATTTTGGTATTTTTGGCTTTGGTGAAGGAAAAGAAGAGATTTTAAATAATGAATATTGCTCAAACTGTTTGCGCATTAGAAGAGAGGGTTTTCTGCATTTACATTCTCCCCATAAAGGCCTCCTGCTACATGATATCAATAGGAACGCGGTGCGAGTGGTGTTTGGAAAATAGGCGCTACACACACTGCAGAAGCCACATTAAAGAGCAGCGGAGCTCCTTTGGGCCCCTGTGGAGCAGCTGTAGGGCAGCCTGCATGGCTCTGCTGCTCACGGCTGAAGATGAGTGTGTTTGTTCATTAATGAAAAGTTGCCGTCAGCGCTGCTCATAGTAGGTGAGGTATTTAGGGGCTTGGACCTATTTGCTCTTTAATGAACAGCAACACAACTTAGGAATACAACATTGACTTTTGCAGGAGGGGAAATAACTTCAGACTTTGGTGTTTAAAGACAGAGAATAAAACAAATGGTGTGTTTTTGTTCTGTAGGTTGGTTTTATTAAAACGGGAAGAGCATTCAAATGAAAGCCTCTTTATTTGTGACGTACATGAACACAGCACATCACACTCAGTGACATTTGACTTCTTCATCTAACCCATCCTATTACTAGGAGCAGTGGAGAGAGTAAATGATACGAAACTATACAAAAAGGCTGCACGACATGAGGAAAATATGGTATAATGTTTTGTTTTTTATTGTGATAAACTTCTAAAACTGCTTGTTGAACTTTAAACATTAAAGTTCATTATTTTCAACATTGTTTTTTTAAACTGAACCCAAAGGGCACCGACACATTTTTTTTTTGCATGATAGGATTTCTTTTTGGGAGTTAGTTAAAAATGTATTTGTATAAAACTTCACTTCAAAATCTAATTGTGTGCAATATTTCAGTCTTTTGCAATGTGTGCAAGTTGACATTGTGATGGCATAAACAAAACTAAATATTTTGCTGCCCTACACTAAAATGAAGCCATAACAAATTGTAATTACTAATAACAAGATTCTTCTTCCATGAACCAAATTTGACATTCAGAACAAATACAGATAGAACTTTTACAATTCACTGTTGCTGATTTACCCAAATCCCCAAATTACTAACTATCCACAAGTCTGCTTTCGGATTGATGTTTGTCATGAAGATATTCCCAATATTAGAAATGAATGTGTGTGTTTTTGGTCTGTGTGCTCCAGGAGAAGAAGACGTTCCAGCAGCAGCTCGTCCCACAGTTCGTCTCGCAAGAGGAGGAGTCGCAGCGCAGAGAGAGACAAAGGGAGGAGCCACCACTCACACAGGTCCCGCAGCCGAGACAGGAGGTAACACCATCACGTGCACACACACGCACACACACTCAGACACACACACAATTATATTTGTATAGCATGTTTTAACAAGGTTATTCAAAATGCTTTAACGTGACAGGGATACTAAGGAAATGCAAATAAGAAACACAAATACTAAAGACAGTATATATGGTTTTAAAAAGAGAAACACAAATCCAAAATAGAACACAATATGTTTTATTCAAACTCAAGACAAAGTATAATACTGAAGAGAAGCGGTAATGAACGATCATTTACATCAGTGACCATCAACTGGCGGGGGTGACTGTGGCGTTGGCGGAGTGGTTAGTGCGTTCGCCCCCCACTCATTTTTTTTTACAACGTCTCATGAGTAATGTGCAGTACCGGAGTCCAACAGAGAGGCAGCAGCTGCGGGACAGTAGCCTGCGTAGCCTTCCCTGCCCTGAAGAAGAAGTGATCCTTCTTTAGCGTGAAGAGTCTGCTTTATGCGCTCCGCAGTTGCCCCGCTGCGAGACTCCGGCGAGTTGACAGTTCATGGAGCGTGCTCCACTGGCCCCCGAAAGTGTCTCTTGGATTAATTTCCTAGTCCTTTACATCATGTAGGAGTGACAAAAAAGTGTCTTGTACTGTAGCTCTCTTTAGGAGCTTGTATTACGAATCAGTATGCGGAATGCCATTGCAGACTTTTCTTATTAAAAATGCAGTCCAAAGACTTTTGGAAGTTTACTTCAGTGTAAACAACCACATCGTTTTGTATTTATGTCTCATGTCATCAGATGTAGCCACATGGAAAGTTGTGTTTTAGGTCTGGATTACGGTATTGCGTGTGCATGTTCTCGTTTCTCAGTTTGCCTTGACTATCTGTCTAACTGTGTGAGTATTGTGTGAGTACTTTGAAACAGAGACTCGCAGAGACACCAGTTCAATCCGTCACAAATGTATTTTGGCAGCGGCTCTCCTTTCACTCATTAATGCATTTAAAACATCATTACCCGATTCATACTTAGTTGAATTATGATTATTATTGGAGGAGCGGTTTATACTAACTTATTCATGCAAGACTAATGTGTACACACCTGCACCACACTTCTCTCACACACACACACACACACACACACACACACACACACACACACACACACACACCCACACCCACACCCACACACAAATGTACACAGGCACACACACACACACACACTTAGTCAGTCGTGTATCCCTTTCAGAAACATAAAGGCAACGTCTCTGTGTGTGGTGCTCCATGTCATTAGCATAGCTAATCTGGTGCTAATGAACCAGTAAACTGCTGTTTTTAAATCCCTCACACACACGGACCTACACACATTGTCACACATACATAAAAACATGCACAGACGCGCAATTGAAGAAAAGGCTGTCATAATATATGCGCGAGCAAGGCCCTTTGTTTACTTGTGTATGGCTGTGGGGGAGAGCAGAGATCATTTTAATCGCAAAGGAAAAAGAGTTTTAATATCTTCATAACGGAGGTGTCGGCATGAATGGATGTAATAACAGAGACGTTTTGACACTAGAGTGGTAAATGGCGCCATAAAAAGACACCACACTTCAACTCTCCAACCCTAATGCTCACTGAACATTTTGTGGCTTCAGAACAAGCAACACATTTCCGCGCTGAACTGAAACCATTTACGGAGAGAATTTGTGGAAACAGTTTTCACACATTGTCTCTCTTCTCTCTGTGGTACAGAGGCAGTCACTCACGGAGGCACTGGTGATTAAAACATCAGGGGAAAATGGCATTACTGGTGTGGTGTGAGATGAAGGGTGGGGGGGGGGGGGATTTGGGAGATTTAGTAACTACAGTCGATGACATCGGTGTTTACAAACGCTGTACTGTGATTAGGAGGGCTGTGTTTTGTAATCGGCTTAGCGGTGAGCGAGGAGCAGGTGGGATGGGCTGGTGGGGTGTTAGGAGGTGGAGGCGGTGTTGGAGGTGGGGATGTGCAAAATGATGGGATTGATGATGAACGTATGCAGTTATGTGACGGCAGCTGCAATTTGGTCTGCCAAACCTGTCACATGTGTTCCCTGTTTTAGCTTCCTTCTACTAGCCAGTGGATATTGTGTGGCTTAATGCAATAAATGGGACTAGAGCGGAAATTAATAGGAGACAAATTGAATGGCTGATTGACAAATAATACAACAAATAATCAGTACAAGTGTGATAATTGGTTAATGTTTTCAGTTATTTTTCTTTATAGGCAATAACAAATAATGTCTTGCTTTTTTACTTTTCAAATGGGAGATTTTCTTGTCTAACTAAACTGAATCTCTCTGGGTTAGACTATTATTTCAAGCTAGGCGGAGGTCAAGAGGTCACTTTTGACTTTTACATTTTATTGATGAAAGTCTTAATCTATGAGAGAAGAGAATAATTCAAAAATAAAAATGATTGCTAGTTGATGCCTACGCAAATCATGTCAGTATTTTCAGTATTTAATAAAGAACTGGGAGTAACTTTAGTATTATAATCATGTACTGTATAGCTCTGTGGTGGGTTACTGCAAATTCTGTATTCACTGTGGTTGTGGAATAAAGGAGGGTTGTTGGGAACAGGTTACCTGACTGCCGTGTGTGTGTGTGTGTGTGTGTGTGTGTGTGTGTGTGTGTGTGTGTGTGTGTGTGTGTGTGTGTGTGTGTGTGTGTGTTGTGTGTGTGTGTGTTGTGTGTGTGTGTGTGTGTGTGTGTGTGTGTGTGTGTGTGTGTGTGTTGTGTGTGTGTGTGTGTGTGTGTGTGTGTGTGTGTGTGTGTGTGTGTGTGTGTGTGTGTGTGGTGTGATGTGTGTGTGTGTGTGTGTGTGTGTGTGTGTGTGTGTGTGTGTGTGTGATGTGTGTGTGTGTGTGTGTGTGTGTGTGTGTGTGTGTGTGTTGTGTGTTGTGTGTGTGTGTGTGTGTGTGTGTGTGTGTGTGTGTGTGTGTGTGTGTGTGTGTGTGTGTGTGTGTGTGTGTGTGGAGAGATGAGGCTGGCTGAGAGGTCGGCTGATGGATCAGAGCAGGATTGAGTGGACAGAACCTCATGATTGATACGCAGATAGGATATGAGGTGCTGCCCGCCACCCCCACGCCAACCCGGCACCACCTTCAGAATATGAAAAAGAGAGCAGCGAGAAGAGGCCGAGTGCACCGACTGGAGAGACGAGAAGTTAGAAGAGAATGGATAAGTGTGCAGAGAATAGGTTGAGTTAGTGCAGGAGAGGGAGAGAGCGGAGAAGATCCTGAAGGATGAAAATGAAAGGGAGAGACAAAAGCGAGCTGTAAAGAGAACATATAGGCCCAAGAGAGGAATATTATTCAGAAGAAATGAGTAATAAATAATAACCTCTGCATCAGAATATTGCAGGGGAGAAGATTAGGACCATAGTGGGGCCGTCGTGGGTTCCAGGGAGGGGATATTATTACCTCCTTTTCAATCTCCCATGTATAAATAAAAAATAAAGAGATACATGAAATAAGAATAATGCTCTATCATGTGTTTACCATCAATCGTTGCTTCCTCCTTCTCTCCCCTCGTTCTCTCTTTCTCCTTTTTTTTTTTTTTCCTGCCCTCAATCAGAGAAGGCCAGGTCCCCCAGAGGCAGTCAATCTTGCCCTGAAATGTAAAACAGACAAGAGGAGCAGATTACCTATTTGCCATTAATGTTTATTCTCTTTGATGTGAGCAGGCATATCAGGCTGTGTGTGAGCGCGCAGCAGCATGTGTGAGGTTGATTGAGCGTATGCATGTATGTGCAGATTTGCGTAAAGGCACACCCCTAGTCCACTGGGGCAGAGCAGAGTGGAGCATGGCAGCAGCAGCCACAGTGATCTGATGTGTACCCAGGCCCACAAAGACGACGCAGCCTCTCATCACTGTGGGATCACAGGCACGTCTTTAGGTGAGCTCGGCGGAGCGGTGTAACACTGCGCTTTTATAGGGCGTCCACAGCAGGGGTTAACGGTGTGTGGCTCAGTCAGTCATACTGTCAGCTCTTCATTCACTTAGCAGCTCGCTTTAGAGCTTCGGTTAGAAAACATGGCAGAATGGCAGGTGCGACAAATCTACCACTTGACCCATCAAAGAGAAGCTGAGCATTTCGTTCATTGACTGATATTCTCACACATATGCATAGGTGAGCATACACTGCAGGCGATCATACACACACATGCTTACATTTTTCTCATTAAAATTTCATAGGCGTGTTGGGTTAGCAGGGCAAAGTGCTAGCGTCAGGGTTTAGCCCCGCTTACACTGGAGCAGCTTCATCACTGGGCCGCTGTCATGACTCTAAAGAGAGTGAGACCTCTAATTATCTGTCTCTCCCCTAGAGGAGATGGATAGCTAGCTAAACGCACCACCCACTATGCTAGAGTCAGGATTAGCTCAGCCACCATGGAGCCACAGAGGCCGGGATGAGTTCAGAACTGAGCAAGGGGAAAGGACTGCGACTGGGACACGGGTCAGGCAAAGTAGAGACAGTCCTGGGATTTTTTTTTTAAAGAGTTTAAGTGTTGGGCTTTATTTACTGTTACTTGATAGTACAGCCAAAGATACACATGAAAGGGGGAAAGAGCTTATGACTTGCCATGGTAATCGAAACTGGCCACTGAGGTAAGGACTCAGTACGTAAGTAGTAAGTGGCACTTACTCCGACAGGTATACTCCAGGGTCCCCACAGGGACATCACCTAAAAAAAGTCAACAAATGGGGCTTTCTATGGCTACTGTTAATCCAAGCTAAAGTTGTGACGTAAAGGTTTCTGTGTTGTAAAAAATAAAAAGTTATCACTCATTGTAGATGACTTTCTGAAATTGTACATTTATAGCATTACACAAGATGTCATTGAGTGAAATACAGCAATTCATAAGCATGGCCGGTTCTAGTCAATTTGCTTCCCCAGGCGAGATTTGAGCTGGTGCACTTTGAGCACACATTACTAGAGACTAGATCTAGGGGGTACAACTCTAAAACACCCATATGAAAAAGATCGGTTTACA